ACCCGTTCCTTCTGCCATTGTTCACGATGTTGTCCTGGAGACGAGTCATTGGTCAAGACATGTCAAGTTGACACCATCTCTCTCTCTCTCTCTCTCTGCCCCATGCGTGGTCCTGCTTCTGTCCGCTGCAGAACGTGTCCCCCCGAGCCCGCCCCGAACCCGCTCCTAAGAGCTGTTGCCCGAAGAAGGCGGCCACCGCCGCGTCCACCGGCGGGAAGTGCTTCAGCACCGCTCGCCGCGGCACCGCTCCGGACGCGCACCTGGTGACGGCGCTGAGGGCGAGAGCTCCGAGCCAGTGGCGGAAGGGCCGAGGTTTGGGCGGATGGGCCGTGGCATGTGCAGCGGAGAGCGGCCGTTCTTTTTCGGGGTGGAGTCTTCTCCTGGATGTCTGAGTGAAATAGAGAGAGCACTGATTTTGAGTTCGTCGATCAAGGTGATAGAGAGGATGCTGGCGCTTCAAGTTACTAGGAGGCCAGTGCGTTACTTGGCCAGCGAGTGGACCACTGCAAATCCTCAAGCGGTCTCGCACTTCTGTTTGCCAAGTGCTCGTCCCAACTGGTGCAAGGACGAGCCGGTCACCAGGGGTCGCCATTCTTCGCAGGATGTGCAGCACAAAACCTCGCCACACGTGGCACATAGCCAGAACAAAACGGTTCCAAAACCGATCCGGCTCTACCCCTCCAGCCACTCCAACTCTCAGAATCATTGCACTGGTCGTGCTGAAAATTTAGCAGCTGAGCGCCCACCCACCGGCCCCCCGCGGCGCCCGCGGCCTCAACCGCAGCTCCCAAACGCTGGCATAGCTGCCACTGCCCAAATGCCGCTCTGGCGGTCACCAAACGGGTCGGTCGGTGCGAAGTCATTCGAAGTCCCACATCCAAAGGGTCAGGAGCATGGGGAAGTACTGTGTCCAAACTGAAAGTATCTAAACAGTGTCTTCCTTACCTGAAGCTTCCTTCGCTTTGTTTGCCTTTTCTCTTCCTTCTTTTTCTCCTTCGCTTTGTGAAGCAAAAGAATCAAAAGAAGTTCCCTGTCGAGTCCCCGAACAACAATTCTGTTCATAACCCAAACACTCCATGGGACTGCCAAATATGCCGCCCCATTGACCCCCCCTGGCACCACCCCTGGCCGTTTCTCGGCAGTCCTATGGCAGTCCCATGGAGTAATCAGGGACAACTCCGACCATCACCGTTGACTCGGATCCATTCGCCACCTCCGCAGCTGGATGCGCGCGCGCCTGGCTTGGCCAAGACCTCGTGTTGTCTCACATGGAATTGGAGCTCGCAGCCCTGTTCCAATAGCCGAGCTGCATGGCACGCCTGGCCGCTGGGTTGGCTGCAGGTTGAAAGAAAGAAAGAATCTCCCTGAAAATCCGGAACAAGACCATTCTGCCAGGAGTCACAAAGGGGTGGTGTCTGGTCCCTAAGTGAGTGGATAATGGGCACCCCTTACCTCCATTAAGCACCCCTGTGTGACTGCTGGTGGTCTGGGATGGTCTGGGTGTGTTTTTTGGACATCAACGAGCCCCCGTCGAAGATGTAAGACCATTCCGGTTTCGCTCTTTTCTGAAGACAACCTGAGATGTTCCTTCCCTTTTGCTTTGGCCAACCATGACGGACAAACACCAAGCAAATGTCACCAAAAAGGAAACATTTAGAGAGGAAGATTCACATGGTAAAGATTCACATTTCCCCTGTGGGCTGTGGAAGCTCCGTGCCAAGAAAACAGGTCGAAAGTCTGATTTGCCACCACTTCGCCGACCGCACCCCTTTTGGGGCTCGCTGCGTTCGCTGCGTTCCACACAAGTCGGTCGGTTGACTCTCAGTCCATCTCAGCGCGGAGGTACCGGCCAATGTTTGCGATGGCATCCTGTCCGGATTTCGTAGTTCCAGGGGTGGGGGGGGGTGCCGAATCTGACCTCCACAACAAGTTGGGCCCCAAATGTGCCAGATCATCTTATTAGATCTGTTTTGTGTGGCATGTCGGAAGAGGCCCTAGTAGACCCCTACATCTTCGATGCTTGGAACCGGTAGGCAAACAAAGAAAAAAGCACGACGTAAGGTATGAATTACCAGGGGTGTCTAATTATAGCATATATTATAGCCCCTTAGAGGTTGAGGGGGGGGCCCTGGTACTAGTTACTGGTGCTTCATGATATCATATTCCCGATGGGATCAAGTATCAACGCCAATGGCCACTCTGAGAAAGGGCGAGGAACACGTCTGGGCCGTGTCAGACATGTACTTCCAACAATTACAATGCCCAGTGACCAAGAACATGAACGGTAAACTCTCACATATTTTCAAAGCTGCATACCTGATCCTTGATACTTCCTGATACATATGTCCGCGTCCTTTTTGAACAAAGCCACGCCGACCCAGTCGATGGTAGTTCGGAGATCGACTACCATTGATGTCCCCGTTTCGCACGATGCGGTCGCGCAACGCAGGGTGTCGCAAGCAGCAAGCAGGTGGCAGGTGGCAGGTGTCCTGCTCGAGGTCCTTCTTCTCATGTCCCTCTTCTTGGTCTTCATCCTCCACATCCTCCTGGGACTCCTGTGTGCTTCCATCCACGGAGATCCTCAGCGCGCATGCGGGTCGAACGCTGCCCGTCTCCGCGGGTGCGACGAGACCCAGGAGAAGCGAGACCCAAAAGGAGAGAACTGGTCGAAGGATCTGGGTTTTAATGGGCTGGAATTGGAGTGGTATAGAGGTGCCAGACACCACAACACCCCAAGTAGCAACTAGCACTTTCACTTTCCCATCAAACAACCACTATAGTTATTCCCTATGCGTCCAAGACTAATTGTTTTAAGTTCGACTTAGATTTGCAGCCTCGACTTAAAAGTGTACTGTTTAGACATACCGCAGCATGATCCCCTTTGGATGGTAGCACGGGGTCTGACAGCCAGGAATCAACAGTGCATGGAACATAATTACAGTTAAATAAGTTCAACACATTAATTATTTATTGTCAGAAGTTTTTTTAATTGATACTGATCGCATGTTAGTATCCGTGACGCGTGCGGATCTTCTTGCCCATTCGGACCAATTGAACAGTGGACTGACCATGGGCAAACCGTGGAACGACCTGAAAAAGGCATGGAACGACTTAAACAAGTCATGGAAAGACTTAAAAAGGTCGTGGACACCACCACCCCTGAGAATCCACTTGAAACATGTTTTACACAGCACTGGCACTGTCCATGAAAAAAAGTCCACACAAAGGATGAACAGATTGGCTTCGTGCCCGGTGAAAGGATTGGAAAACGGCTTGACGATTTGCGACTGTGTACATGCACATGCGAAAACATGGGTTGAAGCCTTATTTGATGCTGCTCAGATCACTTCAACATGACATATGTAGGATTATGTAGGTTCCAGGAAAGGTCAAATACAGCGGCTCTTTTAAGTCTTTCATTCCCAGTTTAAGTCTTTGCTCGAAGACTTAGATTTTCCAAGACATTGGAAGTTTAGAGTATTTCATCATCACATCATCCGTACTTGGTCACCTCCAAACACTTCAGAATCACCGCCCGGTTCCCCACATTTGGTCCGCCCCAGCTGCTGCATCGCGATCAGGTCCCTCACGCGATGCCGCAGCTGCCGCCGCAGCGGCACCTCCTCCTGCAGCGGGTCGCTGGCGCCGTGCAGCGTCACGACCGCCACGGTGGGGTCGCTCAGCAGGACCTCCCACTGGGCCAGATCCGAGCTCAAGCGCCTGGATCGACCGGGAGCGGCGGAGCGGTGCGGAGGTCCGGAGAGGCTCGCCAGGGCCCTGGGCCCTGGTGAACTCAAAAGGACCACGTCATCCGTGCTCCACTCCTTCATTTCTGATAATAAACTAATTTAAGGTTCACGCACGGGAAGTGGCGAACTGTCCATCTCTTCTTGAGTGGCGAAACCCATCCCCAAACAAGAGAGACTTAAAGGCTATCCAGCTATCCACTGACTCAAAAGATCCCTTCAGAAACCAGACATCAAGGTCTTTTGCTCCGCGATGTTGGATGAGGATGAGGATGAGGATGAGGATGAGGATGATGATGATGATGATGATGAGGAGGAGGAGGAGGAGGAGGATGCTGAAACAGGGGCACAAATTGCAACAATAAATGTGTTGCGTAGGTCTATTTATACGTACACATTGTGTACATATATGCAGAGAGAGATTATATATTAATATAGTTATAGGTTATATATATTATATATATATAGAAACCCGGTGGTGGTCGGTGGTAAAGACATATAAAAACCACCATTGATTGATTTATATAATATATATAGCTTTTAAATGCTTTTAAACCGAACAACAAGTGTTTTGCTAAGGACTTTACGCCACAAAACCAGATCAACAACAATACATGCTTCATCACCTCTCGCCCAAATACAAATACCGTGGGTGCTGCGTATACGGTCTACGCCACTGTGTTCTTCCTGGCTGTTGGTGACTGCCCTGAAGGCCACAACAGGACCCGCCGTCTCCGGCCTCTCTTCGAAGAGCTTGCCATGGTGACGCATGCCGGAGTGCGGATGAGACATGAGATACCACCACCAAACACCCTGGAGAGACTCCTCACAGCGCCCCATTTGGGCCGGATAGAAGTGGAAAAAAAAGGCGCCGATCATCGCTTCGTCCGAGGGAGGGAGGGCTTGATTTGAGGACGAACACGGTGGTTTTGGAAGTCCAGTACTCAATGAGGTCAAGGACTAGGCTTGGCCCTTGGACTTGTAGGGATGTGCTATCTGAACATGTGGAACATGCTTCTCTTGGCCCGTTGACCCCTCAAATCTACAACCATCCAAGATCATCCAAGAATTCTGACATGTTCCAATGGTTTCGGCACGAAGGATTCAACTCTGATGCTCATTTCCCATTGTTCCCCCAAATATGGTCCAAATGCGGACCAGTGGTGGACAAGATTCTTGTATTGGAGGTTCCATGTTGGAGTCGTAGGTTCCAAATCCAGTATACCCAGAACACTGGGATTCTCAAAGCCAACCGAAGATTCTTCCAGCACAGCCGGGCAAATGCTCCACAGAGGGCTGAACAAAAGGGGTTCACAGAAACAACATGAAACAACCAACCCCCCCACTAAGGTGCTGCATGGTGCTGCCATCCAGTCGTTCACCCAGCACCAAGCAGCACCAAACATGGCATCCTGCATATCATGCGCGGCTCCTCTTGACTATCTTCCTGCTCGCTGGCTGGAGTGCCGAAGGAGTTCAACAAGCTGGAATACTTCCCCCAACCTCAGCTAGCACACTGGCACAAAAATGTGCCAATCTACTGCGCATCCCACCGTTCACTTGTTGCAAGCATGGTCAAAGCATGTCAAAAAGCCATCTACCCTTGTGATGTGAATAAAAACTGATGAATTCCATCTTAGCTCCACAGCCCAACAGCCCAACTACACAACCCAATTCCATCTTCCATCTTAGCTCATCCCACAGCCCAACTACACATCAGCCTCATCACCCAGACACGACCTGTCTGGGACTGCCAGTCCGGACGGCCTTCAAAACGGCCAGGGATGGTTAACTGGGGGCCAATTGATCCGGTAGTCCTATGGCAGTCCCAGCCGGGTCATATGACTCATCATCCATTCACCGTGATACACCGAGCAAATCCTCAATCATCCAGGATCGCGGCCGCATGGCCCATGCACGTGGTCCCCGCAGCTATCGCTCGCGATAACTTCCGATCCCTTTGCTGCAACCATCTGCAGCCCACCACCCAGCTGTCAAAAAAAAACTGCGCCCTCCACCCCAACGAAGTCACGTCGTCCTCCATCGAATCCAAACCCTCCAAGCGGCGATGAGAGCGCACGAAGCTCATCCATCCCGGGTAGCGTTCCTCGAGCCGCGCGCAGAGCCGCGTCGTCAGCGGCACCCACACGCGCCGCTCGCGGCTGACGCTCGAGCGCGGCAAGGAAGTGCCGCCCAGCGCAGCGGAGAGGCGCTGGGCGATGGACCTGGCAAGGAACTCGGTCTACCCAGTCGAGGGGCACGCCCGGGTGGACTGAGTCCCCGAAGCTGGACCGAGACCGGGTTTTGTAGAGGAAAGATTCGTCTTCCAAAGGTCCATGTTCTGGTTCGCCATGTGAGTTTGGAGTGTAGAGAGGACGACCAACGAAAAACAAAATAAACATTGGTGACACAATGTGACAGCGTTTTCTGCACGAGAGCCGGCAACACTTCACCCGGGAATTCGCAGCAGCAACACTTCAGTCGCGGCTTCGGTGGCGATTGGATTTCGCGTGATTTACGGTGGCCATCTGAGCTTGATCCATCTGAGCCACAGCCAAGACCTGGTACAAAAATCCCTTATCCTGCATGGATGTGCCCACAATTGCCCAGATGTCACCCATCCATAGCTGGGGGTGGTCTGGTGCCACTGGTGCCATGCTGGGGAGTTTTCCTAAGCCACCCCCCCCAAAAAAAAAAAACAACCTTGCACTCCCAGCGTCTGATTCTTGTAGACCTCTTGCGCTTGCACTGCTGGGTAGCGTGGCTTCATTTGATAGAAGAAGTTCTTCACCGACAAAGGCTTCAGAGCTATGTCGCCTCATGTGGAGGCAAAAAACAACATTGCTAATCCTTCCAAATGAGTTTGGGCTACAACGGTATCTTCTCTGGTTGGGCGAAAATGTTTGAGCGGACTGACAAGTTCAATTAAAGCGGTTGATCGATCGATCAATCAATCAATCAATCAATCAAACAATCAATCAATCAAGCAAATCATTCTATATTTATCTATCTTTCTTTCTATGTCTGTGTCTATGCCTATGTCTATGTCTATCTACCTACAGGATCCACAGTATCTACAGTACCTGGTGCCTATACAGATTATAGTACAGATTATATATATAATATTACAGTATATATCTGGCTTTCCCCCTCACGAATCAACAGCTCTCTGGTTTCTCTGTCCCGGCGTTTGCTTTGCCATGCCTGGATTGACCAAAATAAATCGCGGAGCCAAACCAGGGATGTGGTGAAGGACCGTCTGCACAGCATAGAGGCTCCTGCTTCATGAGACGCTCAAACGCCGGCCACGAACAAACATCTTCACACAACTTCACAAATCCGCTGCACGCAACGGCGAGCAATTGCACGTTCTGCTCCAAAAGTTGTCCAGCCCATACGCTTCCCACTCCTACTTGTGATGTGTAGATCTACAGCGATACGCATGAAAACATATCATCTTAAAGAGCTTCAGGAATTCATTCCCTTGCCCAAGACCTCATCCGACCTTGCTTCTCCAAGACCTTCCTTGACCTAGCTGCCTCACCCCCGTGTGGCCTCGTTGGGCACACAGGCCCCTCACTGCTGGTGACCATCTCCATCTGCTTCTGCTTCCGCATTTTCTGGCGGCCTTCGCGGGAGGGGCGTGAATGCCTCAGCAAGGAGCTCTGGCGGCCCACACTGACTTCCAGTGATTTTGGAGGTTTAAGGTGAAGTGCTTTTGTGAGACCAAACAAGTAGGCCCGGCCGGGCCCTTGCCCCTTTCTCAGACACCTCTGGAAAAAAGAGAGAATGAACAAATCCCATGAGGGAACACCAGCTGACAAATCCCAGTTGCTCAAGGAGGCTTTGGAACGAGCCCTGATGGTACAAGCCGAGCTCCGGGAACGTCTCATCCAGCTGCTGCAGAATCGCCGTCTCCTGGCGATGGCGAGCATGCGATGAGGCACGTTCCCCCTGCTTCAGAAGAGTGGGACTTCAGATCCTGAGCGAGTTGGAGACCCAACACATAAGTAATATATGCTAATATATAATAGTGATCCCCAAATAGATAGTGGCACTGTGTCCAATACATTTTTGGAGGGATCCATCTACTTTTCCATCTTGGGAGACAACTATACTATACACAATCTGCGTCCCATGACGTAGGAGGCCAGGCGTGCCTGCCTTTGGGGAACAATCAAAACCAAAACCCATCACTTATTCAAATCTAACTCAAATCAAATGCATTCTGGTCAAAACTGAAAAAGCCGTGACCCTTGGGTTCGTCACCTTTTCCCGGATCTTCTCTGAGAGCCACTGGCTTAGCCAAAGGCTCCCACTCCCAAGGCTCCCGGGTTTTGGGGTCCCACTCCGCCGGAGATCCCGGTTGGATATACAAAGGGTTACCGTAGAAAGAAAAATGCCCCGAGGCGGCCCGAGAGGTCTCCTTTTTGAAGCTGGACCTGCCCTTCTTCTCGCTGGAGGGGTGCGCAAACAGCGAACATCGGTCCACCCAGTAGGTCCTGAGGCGGAGACAAGGACGGCGAAGGAGGGCGAAAGGAAGTCGGGCGAGGCCCGTGGCCCTGTGCGAACAAGTCCATGGATGGCAATGATCCAAAATTGAAGAGGAAGAAGTAGGTGGAAGATTTGATAAGATATGATGTGATATGGTTAGGATTCATTCATGAACCACCTGGCTGAATCAAGCGAAGGCTTGAAGGGGCCCATGGCGGCCCGATGAAGCGTTCATCTACACAGGTCGAGTCGAGCTTAACATAGCTTAACTTTATAGATTATACTTTCAGGGTTTGCGGATGTGGTTTGTCTATGATGTGGCCTGTATGCTTATCTAATATGTGCATGTTGCGAACAAGGCACTTGGACGCTTCAGGGATGAGGTTTCGCTTCAGCTTCCTCTTCCAAACGCTCTCGCACGCTGGGTTCTGGAGCACGTAGATGTGGCGTGCCCATGGGGCATTCCTCTGGATGGACTGCAAGGTGAAGATCAAGCCTGGGTCATTGTCCACCTCTGCCCATTTGGCCTCTGTCATGTGCTCCTCAAAGGCGATGGCCGGCTGACGCCGAGATCACATGTCATGCATGTTTGAACGACTCAGGGTTCCCAAATGGCCATGCAAATTGCATATGCATCCTTTTTCTGCTTTACTTTTGGCCACATCTGGATTCTTGGCACCTCAATGATTTGCCATGTTGATTTGCCGTGTTGAAACTGAAACGCCCTCTGATGTGCTGGGAGGTGACTTCACCTCCCCAAAAAGCGTGGAAGGCGTGAGAAACGAAACGTCCCCAAACGTGGCCAAGAATCACCCAGCAAGTAGTTGTCTTCTCGGCATCCCGCGGGGATCACGATGTCCTTAGGATTGACTGGAGCTTGACACCCGGAATGCACATGCGGTCTTAGTCCTCTGATGCTGACTACTGTGGCCAGCTACAGCTTTCGCCGCGATATAAGGCTGTACCAAATGGCGGCTGAAGGGATCCCCGCCCCCCCCCAAAAAAATATGGAAACGGAAGAAACGCGGTCACTTCAATCATCTTCAAACCATGCCAGGCATCCACACTGCGGGACGACTCCGCTGGAAGCAGTGTGTAGCTGAGCCCGATCGCCAAGTGCAGGCGAAGCATGCGCAGTTCCATGACCACGAAACGAGGAAAACAAGGAACTGAACTGGCGCCACCCACCCGCACTTCGAGAAAACCAAAACAAACAGAGTGACCAGGAACAAAACATATTTTGTCGGATGAAATATATTGAAGCCCAGGGATGGTGAACACGTGGGTTGTGAAGATGTTCTTGCAAACAAAAAACCTACGGCCGGACCTCACGCAGGCCGGTAGGGTGGCGCCTTGCTCAAGGAAAGCCTGAAGTTTGAGCTGAGACAGCTCCTGCAAGGTGATCGGGCTCACCTGCTGCCACACCTTTAGGCCTTCTGGCGCGTGGAAGGAACAGGATGGGAACCGGCAACAAGGGGCTCTTGGAAGCGCCAACTATCGCCCCAACAAAACCGCAGAGTTTTCAGTGGGCAGACTGGACTCACGACAAACACATCCGGAGTCCACAATTCAACCGGGGGTGTCTCGAACAACCTCCTAAGAACTTCATTCATGTGATGTGGAGAAGGGAAAGCGGATGAACATGAGGCCCGGTAGTGTGAAGCCAGGACCTGTGCGACGTTACGTCTTTGATCTACCTGTGCTGACACGGGGCTTGCTGTTTCTGAGATCTCTCATGTCAAAAGGACACTTTGCCTCAAAAATTGGTCCTTGCAGCTCAGCTGGGACACACTGCCAGTCTTCTCACAAAGTCGAAGACCTCCAGTCCACCACTCGGGACCCCAACATGTGTGTAGCTCTCTGGATTACGCGAGCTATCTCATATCCCAGACACGACAAATGGGACTGCCATAGGACTGCCGCCCCATTGACCCCC